ATTTCAGTTGTCAAAGGATTCTTCAACGGCTTTATCTAAATTTGAATAAACAATAACTTGGGCAACACGACAACTTATGTAAAGCTTTTGGTTCGCTGGGCATCGCCTTGTTTACAAAATTGGAAGTGTTTTCAATTAATTGTTAATAGATAAGTACAAAGCCAAAAAAAACTTTAGATTTGATTCGATCTTTGAAATGGCCAAATCATACAAGCAAATATTTTCATTTGAATATGATACTTACTTTCCGTGTCCTGTAGGAAAACGGCATGTCTTCTACATCGCTATGTATGGCGAGAAGGCAATTAATTGGCCTGTCGAATACAGGACTAGTCATAGTTCCTCTTATGTCTTAAAACTTGATAAAACATAGCGATTAAATAAAGGTTGTTTGGGAATCGAAAGAATCGCGTCTTATAATGAAAGTTGATCTGACGATTGCATCTTGACATATCGGACGTCAGACATTGAACAAACAAATAAATCGTGTTCTGTCCGATATAGCTGTCCTTACCATCCGTATCATATTTTTTTTATTTTTTTTTCTTGGTGTACAGATTTTTTTCGTTCGATATTGGAAAATATGTCTTCAATTAGGTGTTTGTAATGTTTGCCCTTGCAACACAGAATGCAGTGCGAAGACTGTTTCCAAACATGATAGTGCCCCTAATAACGCCATAAAATACTGTAATATAAACAGAGTAATGAAATTAAGCGGCAAAGTGGCCAACCAAATGTCACCACTAAATAATTTAAAGATGAAAGGGGAAATACCATAACTAGTGGTACATCTAAACTCAGTCATTCCATCAGCAAAAAAATCATAAAACATCGAAATACTTTTTCAGAAGTATTTTACTTCTCTAACTTGGTCCAGTAGTTTTCGAATGGTACCTTTTCAAAATTGCCTGAAAATTTTCGCTGTCTCTCGATTTTAAGTATTACAGTATATTAACATCGATTCACTTCCTGTTTTCACAGTTTATATATATTTTGAACATCGAAAATCATCATCTTGAAATTCTTAAAAGTGTTGGCAATGGCTCGGATGTAAAACTTTAAAAATACTCTCTCTCTCTCTCTCTCTCTCTCTCTCTCTCTCTCTCTCTCTCTCTCTCTCTCTCTCTCTCTCTCTCTCTCTCTCTCTATCTATATATATATATCACTCTCTCTCTCTTTCTCTCTCTAATCGTACAAAACCTGGTATTACAAACTTACAGTCCAGTGATGCTGCTACACAGGCATGTCATGCGACAGTCCTTCTAGTCTTCGGTTTCCTGCATCAAATCCTTCTTCAACACAGTCACCATTACCTTCGAAACAAACTCAGCAGCCCCAACCCCCATCAAACCCACCACCCAATCAAAAAAACAACACGAAAAAGATTATACCTATCCAACTCCTCCAAGATCTCTATTAAAGCTGTCAAACCACCACAGGTTTAACAAGTAGTCTAGCTAATTATCAATGGTTCTCTACTTACCTCTAAAGACTTTGTAGATTGATGAAATTCTTTGACTGTCTCAATGATATTACCCTAGTGTAATCCGTCGCCACGAAACAAATGTCAATTTCAGAAAATATTCATTGTTTAATTTCTTCGGTCTTGTTAGCAAACAAAGATGGAGTTGCTATCCTCACAGAAATATACCATTACATTCGGACCTTCAGTCAATTGTTGTTAGCGTTACGCTCCAAAGAACGCTTACTGTATGCGCTATTTCCCTCCAAACTGATTTTACGAACAACCAAATAATGACTATCCTATCGCGCCTGCCTCCTCCATTAATAATTTTGAGTGACTTAAATGGCAATAACAACCTTTGGGGTTCCTCCGACACTAATGACAGAGGAAAAAAAATGAAAAATTCATATCGGAAAATAACTTTGTCTTTACAATAATAAATTGCCAACTCATTAGAACTTCCGAAACATTCTCGCACCTTGATTTAACTTTATGTCAACCATCGGTTGTAGTCGGTTTCGAATGGACGGTGCATGGCGATCTCTGTGGAAGCGATCACTTTCCAATATTTCTAAGGAATGCTTGATCCACAGAAAGCGATTTTGTTCCCCACTGGAAATTATATAAAGCAGATTGCAGTACATTTGAACATCTTGATATCGAAATTCTAAACACCATTGATTTCCTGAATCTAGATCTTATAGAATCCTTTACTGCCGAACTCCTTGAGAATGTATGCCAAAGTCGAAAAGAAAACACAACAAAAATTTCTCGGATTAATGAAGATTGTGATAAAGGTATGAGAAATAGGAAAACCGGTTTGAGGCAATTCAAAGACAACCTCACTAGCGAAAACTTAAACAACTCTGGAATTAGTCAAGAGCCCGTCGATCTATACACTTACACAACAATTGTCTTGGAGATCTTATGTGTCCAAGTTAAATCATCCATCAAAAAGGTATGGGATATGATTAAAAGAATCAGCGGTAAAACATCATTCAAAACAACGGGACATCTGAAAACAAACAGAAAATTAGCAACATCGACATTTTATATTGCAAATGCTTTAGGATCTGTTTTAGAATCCGTCTGCAAATAATCATTCAAAATAAAAATCAAACATTTAAGACCATTCGAGAAAAAACTAAGTTCTCTTCCGATTCTGTTTTCAAGTTTTCATCTCTTCTCCTGATACGTACATCCTGTATTTTCCAAAAAAAATAAAGCATTAACTTGCACACCATATCGCTTTGAATCGTTTGTTTGCATTTCTAAGTGACACAACATACATCAGTCCTTGTTCTGAGCAACTTTGTCACAAGTTTTATTTTGCATCTAGTTCAGTTTGTATTATGTGTTAAGTTTATCTCAACTTTACAGTTAATTCATCAAGGAAAGATTCAGTCAATTTTGATATTGAGTTTCTTCTCATTTTCATTACAAAGCCTGTTTTGTGGTCATCAAATGTTTTGTTTGCATTGCTTCCTACTGTACACGTAAACTCCCTTAATGAGGCACAAGTCTGAAAGATCAAATAAAAACCTTGATCCGTTAACACTTGTTCGTCAGGTATACTGTATCAATGTCTGTACAGTCTCATGATGCTGTTATTGGGATTTCATGGCAAGCCTTTTCATGTGACATATCACTCGAGACCAACTTCACTTTTTAGATTCATATCAACCACATGACTCTTTAAACACAAGAAATCTTTTTCTTCATATCTTTCTCTTTCGTGATTTTCGCTCCTCAAACAAAACTAGACACATTCTCACATAACCTTTGGATCAAGACCAGATGTTCCAAGCAAGTTCCAGTTTAGACTAATGACTTCAGCCGAAAAAAAATATTAAAAGAGCACGCAAATTAACACGAACGAAATAATGTTTTATCCAAGAATTTAAATTGTATGAGCATTGTAGAGTGAGATTAAAAATATCGATTGAATTCACGGAATGAGTCCTGTCGAATGTCCTCTTCAATAAATCTAGAAAAATCTGATATTTTTATGTTTAATGGTTTATACTGTATCAGTATTTGTGTTATTAAGTTCAATATTTGATAGTTTTTGCGATTTCTAAACAGGAATAATTAAACCTAAATAACCATAAGAAATAGATACAAATCGGTGTTATATTCCTGCATTAGGTCGGGGACCTTAAGTCGACAGGTAGGCTCTTGTTTAGAATCGGGTCATTCTTTAACACACAAACTGAAACACATGCTTAACAATTTCATTTACCGAATTCCCAGTATATTTAATCCTTCCTACATGTCTAGAAGTCTTTCTGTACAGACATCTAGAACGCTGTTACCCTCATACAATTGTATTCATCGTTTTTCATCCACAAATTGTTTGCGTTGGTACCAGAGGTTCCATTTAAACTGTTTTTGTATCTTATGAGCATTCACAGCGGCGGAAGGACGACAAAGTCAACTTTTAAAAACAAAATCTCTGCAGGTCAGACGTGAATAACCGTAAGCGGTTCTTGGATAATTCTTATATCTATATCATCTTCATTACCATTAGACTGAACCCCTAATTTAATTATTTTCAGAATTGTATTTTTAAACTAGGTGAGACCCAGGCAGGATAGGAAGGAATAATATTCCACTGAATGCCGTAAACACAACAGATGGAAGAAAATCCCTTTCAGGTAGGGTGTGCCATGATCGGATGGGTAAGGTGCCTCGCGTCTTTTTCACTAGCTCTCCTACTCTGGGTCGTGGCTTCGAGACCTAAGGCAGCCTCCAAATACTGGCCGAAAGTATGTGTTTTTTCTCCGTGAACTCTGGCTTTCCTCCACCACCCAATTTGGCACGTCCTCAAATGGCCCTGGCTGTTAATAGGACGTAAAACAGCAATGCACCAACCCTGGCAGGTAGAGGGTGGTTTCTTTGATGTCTTGTTGATCAACGTAAGATTATTAATGGGTCGAATAGACAGTGAAGACGCTAACACGTCGAAAAAAAAATGCTGAAGGGAATTTAGGCATTAAATACTTACAGCAAAATTTTACTCCAACATCAATACAGGATCAATTCCTAATGCCCACATTTGACCGCTTTAGCAAAGTCAGTCTCTGTGACTTTCATGATAGGTCAAGGTCATCCCTTTTCTCGGACTATGCTTTATCCCATATCATGATTCTGGGCGTTACGGTCAATTCCATTTCTTTTCAGTGTTTTATCAAAGCCAGCCCCTTTGACCTTGTATATGTTGCATGATTACCTCTTTATGCAAACCTTGTATTTTGTTCCAGAAATATTTAAGCTAAATTAGACAGGCCCTTTATTTAAAGAGCCAGACCCACTCCGTTATAGATATTTTTTACACATTTTATTGACTGGAAATGATGTTGTATACTAATTGATAATATATAAATAAAGACTTGTGTAAAGTTTCGAACTTGAAATTGAAAGGGTACAGGAGATATCGGTGCCGGAATTAGTCTCATTAATCAACACCAGGATATGAATATTGATGAGGAAAAGTCACGTGATAGATTCAGACGCGGTCAGAACCAATACAAAAATGGAGGTAGAGGTGAGTAGTACGTCCATGTGACATCGCTTGTAAAGAGATTTTACCGATAAATGCAATCAATACTCTATATATCCGGTATGGAAATGATCTAACGTATGTTTTGATCACATCTTTCAATGCTTAGATATGACACAAATACGTGCAGATTACGAGAAAAACTATGATTAATTGCAAAGAGGCCCTCAGATGTGGGCTGCGATACGGTAACGAACATATAGAACATCGCGAAATTGTTCTATCTAAAGCGACTATTCGATGAGAAGAGTTTATATGAATATGATTTTAGAGTGATACTCCAGGAGAGAGCCAAAGAGAGAGCGATACAGAGTATGAACCAGAAGGTCGAGGGCGCGGAGCGAGAGGAAGAACCCAAGGGAGAGGCAGAGGCAGGGAGAGGACGACCTCGATGTTCTAGGCAAGCACGCGGTAGGCCTACGCCCGAGAAAAGAGACATCAGCTGCATGCAGAACACCGTATTTGTCTTCGTTTCTTTATCTGTCAGGTCATCATATGCCACAAAAAGCAACAAACATACTTTAATCACTTTTATATTTGTGGACTGTGTTCGTATCTGTCGAGCAAAATACCCGCTACTTCGTAATTTGTTTTTGAATTCAGTTCGGTCTTCACAGCATTCCATCTTTCCGTATGCTCGCCAATATAAATCTTTGCCATTGATATATCACGTTCCTACGGCATCTTCCTTCTCTTCGCCTCAGAGCCTGTCAAAACACATGCGTCAGAGGGCAGGACTTCCCGCATAATTATAAATTAGCACTGAGTCGTTACGAATTCTTTTTTAAAACTCTTTATTACGCTTGATTGGTAGCGATTTATTTTAAAATCGTGGTATTACAGGGTAAGTAAAAACATTTGCTACCGGAGAAAAATAGAAAATCATCAATTTTTTTATATAAAATAATATCGGTCGAGGAGTGGGTCTGGCTCTTTAATAATCAGAGGTCGTTTCGACGTTAAGAATATCTTGACCTTACATATTGTGAACGGGCATTACCTTACGGAAATTGCAGCAGATTTTATTTCCAGAAGTTGTTTGGCAAGGCGAAAAAGAAGTTTAAACGATAAAGCCCCTTAAAAATCACAATCTATAGAGTTCAGCACTAGTTTCCAATGATTCTGAGGAGCAGATTGTCCGCACCGTAGGTTTGATGGCAATAATGTCATTTATGTGAAAAGTTAAACGCTGTTTAGTAAACCTGGGTATCGAGATCCAAAATAAAACAATATAATAGTAAATTGAAAGATAACACTAAAATAAAGATATATTTTTGGAATGCGACGTTTCACTACAAAGATCTGGACTTTTGGAATGATGAAGTAGATCAGGATCTAGCTACATCCTATTTGCTGTATCGGGGTCAGCGTCGATTGCTAGTCAAGTTGCTCTACTCTCACACACCACTGACACAAATCCGTATGCTGCTTATAATCCCCAAACAATCTTTCTGGCTAACTGCATATGTATGTAAACAAACAACCTGTCATGTGTGTGCTGTCGGCACCCCTCTGTCTACTGTCTGACACTATACAATTCCATTCCAGGTCCACTCAAGAATTTCAAATGACTGGAACTGGCGCGAAAAAAACCGTCAGTGACGTCACTTCATGAAAAGCAGGCTTTGTGTAGTGATTTGTATAAAATAATTGCTCATTAAATTATTATTATTGTGTTATTTTCGTTTTATCTAAATAATTGATCATAAGTTTTTTCATAGGAATATGCTATACATTCATGATGGTATGACAAGAAAACCATATTTGCAAATTGAATGAATGCGCTGTCTACTCGTGTTTTTTTTTTTCTGAAAATCTCCTCGAAATGTTTTTAATTTGATGATTTTTTTAAAATGTGATTGATATATCATTATACTTAAAGGGCATCTTGTCCTTTCTCCTTATAAATCATTTGTGAAATTATCTTCTTAACTCGGGCAGAAAGGTTCAAAAAGAATCCAAGAATGAATTTGTCTGCTTAAAACTTTAATCATCGTACACTTCTCACTAAAATGATTGTAGTTGTAAGTATCCACGTCCACAAAGTAGCTACGTCTTTAATTCAACATCATTGTTTTATTTACTGTTGAAAATAAATGACTGAATGGGAGCGAAGTAAGTATGTATTCACATTGATAGTGACAAATATCAATCGTAAACAGCACATGCCTTTTATATTGAGTTAAATGTGAACGAATATATATAGTGACAAGATTATTAAAAACAGAAGAGAAAAATGAACCGAATTCCAACTATTGTTCATACATGTTTGTACATGCTGTAAACAATGGTTTGGTTATAACCATTTTGAAATTTCATTTAAATTTAATCAATTATTTCATTAATTACATATAAAATTCGTTATTTTGAAATCATTAAATTTACTTTGTGTATCATAAAATGATATATTATATCATTAATCAAACTATTTTAACTAAACTTTCTGTCCGTTTTAATGACCCATGAATACATTAGCATGGAAGGCGAGTTTCCCTATACAGCAGTTTGACTTTTTTTTTTTAATCTGTTACCTGAAAGTATGTATCATTTCCATCTATCACAACTATTTTTATCTAATACTTGTCAAAGTGACAATGTGTTGGAAAATTAATATACTTGATAGCCAGAGGCATACATTTTTAGATTTGAGCATAATAGTTCTTTTAATTTCATCCTGAAGTTGTCAAATTAAAGGTTTAGAGGAAGTTTTAACTAAAAATGACGTGACAAATTTTCATCTTGAAATCAATATTTCGATATTTTATTTTTAATGAGAAAATAAATATTCAAGTTACGGATCAGAGGCGTGCGTTTTAGATCTTTAATTTAGAAAAATGGATATATGTTTTTTGGGTTTTTTTAAGTAGGTCATAGTAGAAACATCGTTCACCTGGAGAGAGAAATCCGCGAATGCGCAGGTTGTTAAATTGTTTGTCCTCAATAGCTGCGTATGAAACTCGGACGAAGGGAGATAACTCCTACGACCTAGTGCTACAGTTGTTCGTAGACTTACTACGACGGAACAAGTAGACATAATTTGTTAAAGATATTTTTATTACACGATAGAATTCAAATGTTATAAAATTTACCTTTACAGTCTTAACATATTTTTGTTTCGTCTATGCGAGTTCATTGGACACGACTTCGTTAATGTTTTGAATTTGAATCAACAACTTAATGATAGTTCGTAGCTAAACCGTATCAATGGTTTCAATTTCCCTATGTTTAATTGTATATCTACTTTTTCCGTTTACAAATGAGGATAACCTTTGTTTTTTTTTGTTTTTTTTTAAGATGTAATCGACTCAGACTGTCCGTGACTACAACAATAAAGAAATGATAAAAGGTAACAAATATTGTGACAGTTCCTAGACTACGACATACTTTTTTATATTTCAATGTACTCAACTTTCCCTTCTTTTCTATATATAGATAATTTGAATAGCCTACAACAAATTTGTTAAATCTGAGAAACCAAGTTTAAAATCATATCACATGTAATCCATTTGATATGATACGATTTTGTTTGTTTGTTTGTTTGTTTGTTTGCTTGCTTGTTTGCTTGTTTGTTTGTTTGTTTAGTTTAGTTTATAATAATACTTTATTGAATAACGCCTGAAACTTAAGATCAATTATGTAATCGCAATGTCATCGAAATACAAGTTCTTGTAGGCATTGGCTTTTGCGATAGAAGGGAAACAACTCCTACAGTCTTATCGACGGCGGAATACTCCGTCGGATGTTAAAAAAATGACCGTAAATTGTGTTTCACAATCTATCTATGTAAGAATTTCCAACCGTGTAAGTAGAACATTTTGTTTCCTCGTTATTCGATGAAATATGGGTGTAGAAACAGTCTTATTACTGATATCCTATACAGACGTAACTGATCTTCACAGGAAGTACCCGATAACCTTTTGTTGTAAATAACACATGCGTTCATATAAATCACATTCGTCTTTCAATGCCTGCTGATTTTTTTTATTGATAAGTTGTTTTCCATGGCAGTTATCTTTCATATCGCGTACAAAGCAGTGTGAAATCGCGTTAAATATGAAACAATCCAGATGGCGACAGGCTCATACTACGACCGGAAAAGTTATGTATTCACATCACGTTAAAATGGTTCTTATCGTTTTGTGTAAAGTGATTAAAACCTGACTCGCTGGTCCTTATCGATCATTTGATAATCAATATATATGATTTACCAATTGTGAAATATCTCTTTCCGTGTCAATTTTGATGAACTGCATTTTTCTTCTTCTTCATCATCTTCTTCTTCATCTTCATCATCATCATCGTCGTCATCTTCTTCTTCATCATCATCATCTTCTTCTTCTTCTTCTTCTTCTTCTTCTTCTTCATCATCATCATCATCATCATCATCATCATCATCATCATCATCATCATCATCATCTTCATCATCGTCGTCATCTTCTTCTTCAACTTCTTCTTCTTCTTCTTCTTCTTCTTCTTCTTCTTCTTCTTCTTCTTCTTCTTCTTCTTTCATTTTTTTAACAGGAAGACAATGATGAACTCCGACAATTAATCTGTATAGCGTTAATGCCATGCTATGAAGATTAACTGCTCTAATTACAGCCTAATTTTGTACTAGCTGAATGAATGATATATGTATGACTGTGGACACATTTAAAATTGAACATTACGCAAAATGAATTACCCTGGAAATATCAATGATGTGTGTTCGGTATTTTCTACGAAGGTATACTCTCTGTGTGGTTTCGTTCGAGCGTTGTATTGCGTTGCTCGTTCTGTCTATGAGAATGGCACATCACGGGAACTAATTAGATTGTTTGTCTGTTTTTGTCATTGTCTACATCTCCCATTATAGTTCCGACTTTTTATCTCGGCAACTACAACTTGTGCTAGACATTTCCAGCACCATTGATTAACACTAGACAGGCTAACGGTATGGTATTGTTCCTAAAAATGATTGAGAATCCAGGTTTAGATTTAACGCCCGACTTCCCCAGTATTCTAAACGTTTATTCTAGTTAATTAATGTTTCATTCAATTTATATTTGGCAACTAGGTTCTATGATACAATACACAGCTAATTGCTTCAACCACACTCCCCTAAAGTGGGTAATTTTTTTTTCTCTTTTTAATTTAAGCATTCAAACACTTCTAAGATTTTATATCGTTCATTCCACATGTCCGAAAAATGTTTTGTGACATGAAACTCTAAGTTGTAAATAAATGCAGTGTAATGAAAAATAATTTGATACAAACAAACAAAAATAAAACCAAAAACAAAAACAAAAAATCTTGTATGAATAATGTCGAACTTTTTCTCTTATTTTCGACGGAGTTTCGAGAGGTGCAGATTGATAAAGATTTTGGTGACGTTTCATGGTTGTTAAAATGAAAATTCAATTTTATTGTGACAATTTAAATTAGACATGTTTTATGGTCATAGTATACCTTGTGATTCAATTGTCTGAAAACTTTGTTCACATTTGGGAACGCGGCGTGTCTTGGTTGGATAGACGAAGATTCACACATCCTAACTGACGTTTACTCTTCCGGAACACATGGTCATACTTATTATCCATGTATTTTTTTCAGATTCCTTGCAATGCTTTCTTTGTTCAAATCATATGCCTAAGTTCCGTCGAATCCGAGTTTGACTTTAGATTCTGAATTGTTTGATTTAGTATAACTGACAACAGTTTTGTTCGAATAATTCATGCACCACTGCTAAGAGATGAATGAAACTGCAGTGCTGTTTTGGTTACGTTTTTAACTTCTTATCGACAAGCGGGGTCCTTGAAGGACGCTATCCCGGAGCGATATGTCCGTGTAAGTATCCTTGAGATAATGATGACTGGAGCCGGCTCGATAATGTTACCATGCGTGTGTAGAATGTGGAATGTCCGCAGCTGGACACCGCATCACGGTCGTATTATACTGACAACGGACCAACATATAAACATAGGAGAGATTTAGTCCGAGACCCTTGAAAATACAATACAATAATGGTTTTTTCCTTCATATTAAGGCTTTTTAATTATGTAAATGTTAGTCAATTAAAATTATGTGTGATGTGTAACGCTTTCAAGTGAATACTGCATCCACAAACACGAAACAATCCGACATACTGTGTGTATCATTGCTGGATATTCCATGAACAGTGGTGTTTAACAAGTGCGATAAATGCACAGTTTATCCGTTGGTTTCGTAGTTGAAGCAAGAGACGCTTTCTCTTCCGGAACACTCGGTCTGATTTTCCTTGTATTTTTTCAGTAGTCTTCATACCTTTTTTTTCTTTTGTTCACATTTTATCCAAATTCTATTGAATATGAGTTTGGATTAAGATCATGATGACATATTGACGTACTGCATGAATGCATGAATTAAAAAAAAACCATGAAAACAACAGAATTGTTATATCATAAATATTGGACGAAAAATCTATTTTCTCTTACCTGGGACAGATAATCCACGCTTTCCTCCAATGTGAGATATCCTTGTCTCAACCTACAAGCAACACGTGCTCTTTGCACATTCAAAAAACATTTTCAGTGACGTCACTGACGTAACCCGGAAGTGGAACTACACACATACACTAGTCTGTTACTGAAATCTTGTGTTATCCTCAAAACTGAAAACCCGGTGTTATCATCGAGATTGAAACCACTCTTAATCCTTATTGATGTAATTATATATAGAATATCAAGAGTATGGTTTTATTTCACGTTTTATTGGCTTGTAAACTAGAATTAAATTAAATCACAGTGAGAGAAGCGTGTGAGGCGTGAGCTTCGTCGCTATATGTACGCCGTCCACGTGTTTTTGTTTACACATAATACACTTCATCTTGCACTCGGACAAGGGTAAGAGAAAAATAATCATTCACTTCCATTATGATGAGATAGGGGGTCTCAACCCTCGGGATAAGATTATCAAGCTGTTAAGCATTCGACAAGCCTCGTGTTAGAAACTTTATCATCTTATTATCTCCCTCGGGTTGAGTTCCCCCACCCCCTGCCCTTTTTTATCCTAAAAGATGTATGAAAAACATGGGTGTATTATGTAATCAAACAAAATTTAACCGACAAAAAATTACGATCCTTTAATTGATGGGTTTTTTTTTCATCGAACGGGACTATTTCAGTCCTAGCGAATGAGTGGCATTTTCTAGATATTGTGATGAGGGTTGTTATCCAGAACTCCGGTGATGAGAGCACTTTCACTTTATTTATTTAACGGGTTTTGCGTCCACTCGTAAAGCCTTTCAGCGGACGAGGAAAGATATGAAAACGAGCAGAGTGGAAATAGTGTGAAGCCATTGGAGAGAATGGGATAGAGAAATAATGTAGAGATTGGTTGTCGATACTGTCAGACATTGCATGCCCCTGGATAGAAAGATCGGGGCATATTGTTTTTGTGCTGTGTCTGTTGTCAACTTTAACCTTATCCATAACTATGGCACCGTACGAGTTAGGGCTTTCATATATGTCATGTATGTTCCTAGTGACAAGACATGTTTGGTGGTAATAACTTTTTTGACTATGTGACCTTGACCGTGACCTTTGACCTAACTTTGAAAGAAAAAACAACATTATTACCACAATGAAGACATAAGTGTTTCACAAAGTGTGCATGCAATTAGCACGTGTGTAACACAGTATAATTTTCCCGCTTCAAAATTTTGTTGCCATGGAGGGCATAGTGTTTCATTAAAACATAATTTTGAAGACGACCGTTTATGTCTAATTATAGATTTCACTTAACACTAGCTGGGCACGTCACAGCAACAGGACAGAGAGGAGGAGGAGGAGGAGGAGGAGGAGGAGGAGAAGAAGAAGAGGAGAAGAAGAGGAGGAGAGAAGGAAGAGGCGGAGAGGAGGAGGAAGAGGAGAGAAGGAAGAGGAAGAGGAGAGGAGGACGAGACGGAGAGGAGGAAAAGGCGGAGAGGCGGAAAGGAGAGGGGAAGGAGGAGGAAGAGGAGGAGAAGAGGAGGAGAGAAGGAAGAGGCGGAGAGGATGAGGAAGAGGAGAGAAGGAAGAGGAGGAGGAGAGGAGGACGACACGGAGAGGAGGAGGACGAGGAGGAAGAGGCGGAGAGGAGGAAGAGGTGGAGAGGAGGAGGAAGAGGAGAGGAAGAGGAGAGGAGGAAGAGACGGCGAGGAGGAGGACTAGGAGGAGGAGGAGGAAGAGGCAGAGAGGAGGAAGAGGCGGAGAGGCGGAGAGGAGGAGAGGAGGAGGAAGAGGAAGAGGAGAGGAGGAGGAAGAGACGGAGAGGAGGAGGACGAGGAGGAGGAAGAGGCGGAGAGGAGGAGGAGGAAGAGGCGGAGAAAAGGAGGAGGAGGAGGAAGAAGCGGAGAAAAGGAAGAGGAAGAAGCAGAGGAGATAAAAGGAAGAAGGGAACCCTCTTTATTTTTATAATACTTTGTTAGTCTGTCAAAATTACTTAATAAGTAGTCCCTATCACTCAGCTAAGCCAATCTATCTGCCACAAGGTAAATCGTCCGCTTTATCAATGTCCATTTCTACACTGTTCCTGGAATCACGTAACTGTTTGCATTCTGACATTTACATATTTATGATTTGTGATTGGGCGGTTAGTATTTGGAGGGGATGGAAGTGTTATCTAAGTGATTAATGAAAATATACTTGTTATGGGGTTATCTGTTGACCGAATGAATGTTTCGGTATAATTTTGATGCCGAGTGTTAAGGGGTAGGGGTGATAGTAAAGGGAGTAGGAGAGGAGGGCCGATAGGTATTGGGATGAGGGATAGAGATGTGGAAGGGTTCTATTTCCGGTAACGGGGGAGGGGTCCCTACGCTTATCATTCCTAGAATGTATAAGTCCATAAGTCCTATCTTCATCTTTATGGGGGGGGGGGGAGGAGTCGGAAATACTTGCCTTAGTTTTTACGTATACATAGTAAAAGCTAACACGAAAAGCTACAAACATGTTTCACAAAAGCTGGTTATACTTCTTACAAAGAGGAGTCAGTCTATGATGGGTATTCGTTATTCCGCTAGCGCGAGGTGTACATGCATATCTGTATATCTGTAAACACAATATACAAACAACATAATATAAAGTACTTCATGTGTAATGACCCATAACAATGACTTTGTGTAACCTATATAAAACGTCTACTTTCACAAGCTTGTAGTATTTTTTCTGGAATGATGAACTGCCTTCTTTGTTCGTGGTCAAGGTTTTTCTACTACAGAATCTGTTCAGGGTTCAAAAGTCACCAGACCTTGTAAGACATTGGCCTATGCGTGCTCTCGGCTTCTGTACTTTGTTTTGAATATATTTATACTTTCCGAAAGGTGATGTTTCAGGACGACAATTATGGGAATTTTAATACATATACTAGATAAACTAACCTTACCGAGATATCACATATTAATACAACAATGTGTTTCATCAAAAGTGAGCATGAAAAAAATCTAAAAATAGATCCTCTCAGTGGCTTCACGTTATTTTTCAAAGAATTCACTTTAATTTGCATGTGGTGTGTATTCAATCACTACAAAATCATTAAAAGTTTAGTAATCAGGTCTCCCTCTTGATAACTGGGACCCTGACCCTGAAATCCCGTTTCAATATCAAGGATCAAGGTCACCGTTGTTATAGATATTTTTGACGTCATCGATGTTTCTAATCTATTTACTCTTTCTTTTATGAAAATTCATATATTTATTGACAACTATCATGTCGTGTCCGAATTTCCGTCTTGGCCTCGTCTAAATAAAGGTTATCAAAATGGAGGTTCATACACTTTTTCACAAAGTTCTTCTCGTTTGAGTTCACGTCTCCTCCACCTGTGGTCAAAATGGAGGTCACCGTTCCATGCACTATATGTTGATTTCCTCTCGCTCGATCCCCCGAATTCATTCATTTCCCGAATACCCTGAAAATTCAAAGAATTTCTGATAGCAATCATTACAACTACGAGTCTGTTATCACTATTTACCATGAATAGATCCGCAGCACAATAGCTCTAGATCTTTTATCTCCATTTAATGTTAAACACGTATTAAACTTCATCCACCTTAGGCCTAGATTAAACGGTTTTGGCCCCGAGTTTTCATAATGCCATATTTCAGCCTAAAATAAGGCAATAGTTTGTGTAGTTCGCGGTATACCGCTTTTCCCCGCAAACAGACATAGCCTGGTTAAGATGCATAAATTGGATGCGAAACGAAGTGACGTCACGAGTGACGTCAAAGTGTTACTTCAACGGTATAGATTTTCAATGTTCTCGCTACACAGATGTTTATATGCAATAAGTGACAACTCAAATCCTTGTCTACCAACTGCCTTGCTCACAGAAATCACCTCCGGTTTCAGTTTACGTATCAATAACCGTAAATACGAACTATTTCTTTCTATCCTCTGACTTTCTCGAAGTCGACAACATTAACCTTCGTGTTACATTTCAATTCATTTGATTTGTGGCAAGGTTGAAAACATACACTTGCACACATACGTTCTCCAAACATCATAAGATATCAGAACATTACGACATTTATTGAGTAATAGGGCTAATGCATCTCCTAATCTAGTTTTATTATTTCTTTCGATCAATTTTGATTTTCTAAGTCGCCTCTTAGGCTTCAACGTATAGGCCTTTAGCATTACTAACGAGTCCTGGAACGACGAAACAGCTGTATGATGCAGTTTAATGAATTGTTTGGCTCTACTGCGTCTCACTGTTAATTTGTAATTATTTGTGAGTCTTTTGTACAATCTGTAAAACATGTTTGTATTTCCGGTTACTTTCTGACGCGATGTCTTGTTTATTTTATAAACCTATCTTAATCAGCGTTATCATAAACATATGTACCAAATATTGTGGCAACTATTATCTCTAAGCACTTTCTCAAGTAACCAGAAATCAGTGCTTTGTGGTCGATCTCCGGAACATAGAGCTAGCTCTCACGACTATTCATAATAATTTACCACGGCGAGGCAGTGTGTACCTTCTGCCTTGTTATCCTTTCGACCGTTAATTACACATATTGATATAAGTAAGTTTCTCATTATCGGTTGGGTGGTACAAGTGTTCCTATAAGACGGGACAATGATAGCTTGATTACATTGGCGGACGCCAAGTGGTTTTCGGTATTTTCATAGCGTTCATATTACACTTCAAGAATGATATTATCAAGTCATACTCTCGCTTTGCTTCTTTAAGAAATGTTCTTGCCTATTTGTACACAGTGACATACTGGTTACACAGGAATCACCAAACAGATCGGAAGTAGCAGACTGTGCCAATAACGGAGCATTGATGTAACTACCACAGAATGATATGCACCAAATACAGCACCAGAGATGATTATAATTTATCGCTCTAGTCGCCTACTCCCTGTTCTGACGCCTTTCGGGGTAGAATCTTGGCACTGTCCATCACACCGATATAGGCTACAATTTGTTTCTGGACCATGTTAAAACGAGGGGATCGGTACAATGTTACTGTGACCAAATTCCGAAATTTCAGCTAAATTTCCCAGAATATTACCTACATATTTTGACATTGTTTATGATCGCTGCATTCGACGAAATAATGTATAATAAACAAATATTATTATATTAATCTGAAGTAAAAGAAATACACACACACAAATGTCGTGTGTAAGATACATTATGCAACCACGTGCGATTGGAAATAAGGGATGTCAGTTATACTACGTAAACATGTCGTCCTTGAGCATAGGTAAGAACAATAAGAATTGGAAAGAATCACCAAAAAATAAGGGGATATGACCCAAATATTTGGCTCGAAACATTGCCTCTCTTTTTTACTCATGTCAATGTGTTCTACTAGTGATGACTTACGACACTCTGTAAAGTGCATACAACAAACTGTGTGGAGTGTGTTTCTTGGTTTTTCGAAGTTGTTACGTTATCTTGAAGCACTTGTCAGATATTGAAGTCTCTGATCTCCCGATAAATAATATTGAGCACTTAAGATATGTCAAAATTGTTATCAGCACCAAAATTAGCACGCAGAAAAAATAGTACCTATTTATCAGAGAGAAAGAAATTCATGTGCTCTCTTTTTCAAGTTAGGTTTGGCACCTTCTTAAGCAGTAATGTGTATAGCAATTGGATCTGTTATTGACGGTATTCATCTCGTGTAAACATGTCCACTATCTCTGACGGTCTGAAGTGGGGTTGAGGGGTGTGATTGGGGTACTTTAGAGATATCTAAGTACCCTTCGAAATACCAAACTGGGAGAAGGCCATGATTCCGACTATTTGTGAATCTAAATGTACTAGAAAACAGTGGCACATCTGCAGGGAAGCTGACAGAATAGAACACAGCGAGGTGCCAGAATCACCATGTACTCGTTCACCTATGACGTGTATACAATTGCATTGCACGGTTGTGTCTTATTTTAGACACCAAGGCTTCTGTTTTTGTTTGGCAAACACGCTTTTTGCTGTTGTTAGAATTACAATTACTAGAATGTTGGATATCGATAGCAGTAAGATTGCATACTTTCTATATATTAAACATATCAATACATATACCGTTACGCATGTTTTCAATTTGATTTTCTACATTTCGGATGAGCCATTCTGATTTAATTTTCAAAGGAATGTATACTGTTTCAAATGCCATACAATTTGATACATTTTCACCATCCCATCTCACCCCCTACCAAGTACATGTGTTATAGATAAGCCTCAATGTACAGTTATCGTATTGCTTCGCTTTGTAGATCTACTAAGTATATACAAAATGTATGTATTTAAAAAAAATCATTGTTCTTTACTTTCAGCTAGTAAACTATTTTCCGATGTTCACTGTAAACTAATTCATAAAATGTTCTTTGATAAATAAATAAATAAATAAATAAATAAATAAATATAAAAAAAAATTGATAAAAATAAATAAATAAAATGAATGAATAAACAGAATATAACAATTTTTTGAGTGTGGTAGGAAGTATACATATTTTTAAATAAACTTTTTGCAAATCAAGTTTTATAACAGTATGATTTTTCACTAATTTATGTATAAAGTTCATGTAAAAAATATGACATCATGATCAAGACGTGTCTATGAAATCGCCACTTAATTGCACGCATGACATAATTGCTAATTTACCTGTACTGTGTCAAGATATAAAGGTGATGAATCAGGTTTAGGTAAATAGAACACGTTTAAAATTATATCTTATCAAACAAAATCTCACCAGATAAAACTATAAGATATATATGTTGTGCTGCCTTATCTTGGTAACCTTGTGTTCGGGTACGTTAAGATCAACCTGGGTTAAGTAAAACAAACAAAATATGAATGAAAAACATTTATCAACGACCTGAGCGTTAGTTTGAACTTAAAATGACATGCGCACGTCCGCTACTGGCGCACGTTGTTGTAGTATGAAACACGATATTACGGCTAATACATACCACCGTGGTCACCAGTCTGATACACAGTACTGCGTCATTAGTATCGTGTATTATCAAGGTCACAAGATATGAACGAAGACAGTTGTTGAAAACTAGTGACAGGATTGTACAAACACACAAACAACATCCCATAGAAAATGTATCTTCAGATGACTTTCAAATCATGATAGGATATTGAAAACATAGACGCAACGAGTTTTGAATAAAGGCAAAAAACTGTACCTTTCCGAGACAAAAATAAATAAAAAAAAATAATCCGTCACTGGAAATCGGTTAATCAGATCAGATTTCTCTTTGTGTATGTCCATTATGTCTTAAAACGTAAAATAAATAAAGATAAAGAAGTGAATAAAAATTAGGAAAGCTAGCCACAAATCACGTTGTCAGTAAAGGTCCATTAATTATTCAGTGTATGTAATAGGTGTTTTCAAAAACTACACCTGTTGAATATTGAATCATATTTACTAGGCGCCCAGTTAGTTTGTAAATCTTCGCTATATCTCTGAATATGTCCGCCCAGGCCGGAGATAAGGACACGCACAGGCCGCCACAGACCCTCTACGTGTGACGTACCGTTCCCTTAACATGTGCGCCGCCCATAAACCTTAGATAATCTTCGCTTTATTGTGGTATCATGTGAGCTTTCGTTCCTCATCAATTATGTACGTGTTCTATAGATATGTTACTACCCGGTGATATTGCACCATTAGGAAATGTTTCTTAGTGTGAGTCGACCACTTTCTTAGGAGTCAATACTAGTGACTTCGTAACTGCCAATACCCTTTGTATCATTAGAGTATAGAATCATGGATAGCCCAGACACTATTTGGTAGTTAAGAATCCCAGGGAACAAGAGCTGGACAGCTGGTCGTCAGCGCGGTATTGCATGTGATGTGATCACGTAAGACAAACACTATTTGAATAGAAGGCAGGTGAACCGGTTAAGTTTTATTCTCTACTTTTGGAGAACTTGTTTCGAATGTTTCTATTCTTGTTTAACGGTTTCAGAAATCTAGGCTTTATCGTAATGTGGACTAAATTTAGATATAACTTCCCAAGGAGGAACGATTTTTGTTTATGGTGTGTTGTAAATCTTAATTACTCTCTATCGTTAAGCGTAGCTAGGGAATAGCACGCCTGTGTTGCAATAACGGATATAAATATTCATTCAATGGGATAAAATCTAATAACCCAAGGTTTTCTCACAAAACCATTTTCTGTGTGAATAAATATTTCGTTTTAATCTCGAACCCAGTATATTTTAATTTCCTCAAGATTGATACTCTCACGTCATGGGCTTATCTTGTAAATGTCCCTTGCTTTGCTTTCCGATAGAAAGCAGACAGGGAAGTTTTATCATCACAAGTCACTGACCATCTTAATCGGTCAGTTAGGCTTTGAGAATAGGTCAGTGGGCCGTTGTTTCCGAACTGTTGTATGTCGCGGTCACATACGTTCTGTGTTAATAGTACGCGTAGGGAAATGTTTCCACATGACTACAACTGTGTTAAATGCTGATACCAAAATTTGTTTGTTTAATTGTCTGTTTATCAAACGCATTTCTGGCTACTGTGAAATTTGTATTTAAACACTGTAACGTTTGAAGATAGTCTGTCCGGTTAAGTTCTTTGAGACTCGGTTCTGCTTATATGCATGCGTATGTGCGAGAAAAGATCTGTCAGAGAATTTCTCTTCAGATGTTACATTCAATTAAATCTGAACACGACCAGACGTAGTTGGAAATTTCACCGGAAATTAAAACGAACGATTTCTGTACATAGTCTTCTCTTTATGATTAAGTAACCAGTCAAACAAAACACTACCCGCCTTCCGTAAACTCCTACATTCTCTTCCCTGACTTCGAAAGCACGGCAACGACCTTTCAAGACATTGAACGATTAGAGAAAACTGACGCAGGGTGGTTGTACTTCCTAGGCTAAGTGAATTAAATAACTTCACCATCTCATACCAGGGTTGTATGTCTTAATACTTTCGAGAACGATAAAATGGCTGTTTTGTAATTCTAATACATTAATATGGACTAAACCTGTACATTGAATCTTGATTATTGGTGTTCTATCTGATTGAAGTAGATCGGTCAAAGATTTTGTTTTCTTGTGTTTGTATCAGAACATGTTACTGGCGTAGCAGCAGCGCCTCCGTTGGTCCTTAATACTAACACTGGTGGGTTATATGGATATCCAGCGATTCGATAAATAATTAAATAGTCAATAGAAAAAATATTTTGGTACAAAGATTTTTATAATCCAGATGAAATATTCGAGGGCGAATTGTACACTTATATTGATGCAGAGAGTACGTGTACGTGAAAAACATTATACAAATGCCTTTCTCTACCAGTATGTAACAGGTTGATACATCAAAGTTGATTTATCTACAAAATGTTATGATGCTTTTATGTGAGAAACATTCCCTGTTCTATCAAGATATCGTAAAACCTGCTTATTATTTCGTATTACACGCATAGAACATTTAAACGAAATCCGACTTGATATCAAAATAAATAACTTTTATGTACAAATTCTCTCACCTTCTTTAAAGTTGTACTTATCGCTACAGATAGTGTTAAACATGTCTTTGTTCGTATATTCCGTCTTGTAGTTATACAACATCTAGATTGTATCATATTATTTTCTGAGTATTTGATTTGGTATGTTTCTTTTAAAAATCGCTCACCCATGACATCAGTCTTGTTAGCATTAACGCTTACAGCCCACTTAAAATATTATAATATCTTATTTATCAATAGCTGGCATAATCTTATCCTCTGTTAATATCATCTTGTTTGATAAAGACATAATATCCGACGTTACATTAAAGGAATAAGATGCAAATAGACACTTCCGACCACAATATTTTCATCAACGCACAAATTATCTACAGACTATCAAATTGTTTGTGATATGTAGGAAATCCGTGTTAAGCCCAAAGATACCTTTATTCCTAGAAATCTTTTATTGCTATCAGTCTTGATTTTGATCTATTCTCAGCAAAATGAAAGACATGGAAATATTTCAAAGATTCAAAAAGGCATTTTTCCGATGCAAGCTGACGGAACTCTACCTGTAAAACTATATACGGCACGGCGAGACGAAACTCTTCATTTGATCTTGTTAGAGAGAGGTTTGTACACATGTAAAGAATAGCATAATATACATTCCCAATGAAAGTAAATAGAGTAAGTCATGAATGCTTCTCTCATTGTAATGTAAATGAGTGATTATTGCTGACGAGGCCGTATTGCCGTTCCGTCAGAACCTCGCATTATAAAGGTTTTAACCAGGCATGATTCTTTTGAGGTTCTCGAGCGACCTCCCACCGATGAATGCAGCAAGACCTTTGTGTTATATTCAATGATACCGTTCATTTCGATATCTTTTCATTCAGTGTATCAGCATAAATAATCAGATTTATTTTTCAATTACATTTTTATGCCTTACGTACCAGTAGCAATACTTGATGCTAATCCAGAGAAACACAGAAGGCAGTAGATGTCGTATATGCTGTAGACTAAATTAAATTTGTGTGTATAAACACTTACCTCTCATGTATCATTTCTATCATTGTTATGTCCTCAATAGCCCAACAGCACAGGAAATGCCATCATGAGGACAAAAGAGGTCATAAACGACATCTAACAAAAATGATATAACATTTGTGTAAGAAATAGATGGCCAGAAATTGTGTTGCACAGACTCATATTGTTGACACTGTGAAGTCGCGGTTGATGTATGAATGACTTTTTCGCGCAAACGTCAAGCGCATTAGTCATAAGGCATCATCAGCCATATTCTCAGAAAAAAAAATGTTAAAAATCGGTTTCAGAAACTTTCAAAAACATCTGCATACATGACCATGGAACGGCAAATCTAGAGTTTTAAAAATGAATTCGAACACATCTTTAATTATTTGCTTGAACTATTATGACGTGTAGATTTTTGTCTGTGTTATTCTTTCTTTCTTTCATGAATAATTTCATTTTTTCTTTATATATCGCAAAGAATCATTATTCTGAATGCTTGAAAGGATTGTTGATGAGAATTCAATGTGATATGGCATTCCAGTTTCCCATCGTTAGATATATAGTAATTTACTGCCGTGGTATACACTGAACGGGGACGTGTTTAAATGTTATACAGGGCATGTCACTGGGACTTAACCCTCACTACCTCCCGAGTGACAAACGAGGCGTTGTTAGTTACAGAGATACGCCACGAAAACGACCCAACATGCACTCATGAGGTGTCCATGTTAAATCGTTTTGGATGAGTCACGTGTTTATACAACACCATATGAGCCAATCATGAATAGCGTACCAAACGGCCTCGGATGCGAGTGTCGTCTGCACCCTCCCGTCAACACTAGAGAGTAAGAGGTTTGTACTAGATACACATGCCGTCCTATCTTTAACACGGGACATATGTATTTTTAGCAGTAAAGCCTCACTAGTGATTTTTGAATGAATCTCCATTCTTACATATCCAACAATACTATGGAGTTTGCCTCGTACTTTAACTCTTAGCATAACAGTGTTAAGATCCCAAACGGACCCACTCGTATCGGGCTACTTAAGCTACACCGGGAATTTCCTGTTGCTGTGTGTGCAAAATTATTTATTTGTTCATTGTTAGTGTTTACATCAACCATGATGGAGGTGCCTCAAATGTAAACAACATTATGAATTGCAGTTCTCTTTATACGGAATACTCTTCGGATTATTGATTTTGTTGTGGTATCCATCTTCTGTTTTCCAATAAATCTGGAGTAATGACAACCAACGGGAAATCCAAATCCGTGGACACCAGGATCGTGGTACTTGGTCGTCCTTGTGTCGGAAAATCAGGTAAGAAGCCTTGTATATACCCAGTATAATTAATCCAGAGAGATATATACCCCAACATTGATTTGTCAAAGTATGATGTAATGTTAAAGATCAAATTTCACTAAAAAGTTTGTCTGACTCGATCGTCAATTAATGTTGCAATTGGTTCGCGACAAAAAAAATCAAATATGTCTTCCAAAAATTAAGAAGTACATATATAATTAGATATTTTTTAAATAATATGTATTTTCTGACGACACTGAGAAATCAAATTATACAACTGCCATGCTTAACAACCTGACATGAAATCAAAATTACACAATTCGGACTGCTTGTGGTTACAGAAAAGTAGAAAATCATATGGACAGGCAATAATTCCTGACATATATGAAAAACATTAATGTCGTTTGAATGCAAGATATTTGGTCTACAGTATAACTGTTGTAATTTATCATAACAAGGTTTTGCAGCCTTTTTTCGAAAGGTATATATCAATGACATGTATAGTTGTCTTAAATACAATATCTATTCTTATAAGAAATATACAGTGAACAGTTATAAAACACTCAACACAACAGTTTTAGTAGAGATCAGAATATTATATTGCTTCATACCAAAGAACTATGTCTCCACGGGCACAAATCTGTGTCTCCACAGGACATGTGGATTATAATGTGATCAGAGACAGACGACTAGAACTTGCTTGTTTATGTTTTTTTGTTTGACCACGCTGGGGCCGCAATATCTGGTGTCTATCAACCGTGAATTGAGGACTATTAATGAGTGACCGCGGTGTAAGCTATACACACTAAACCCCAAACACACTGGTATTCTAGGGACACTGGCGGGGTTCATTGTTGACTGTCAGGGGGCTGTCTCGCGACAGTATGAGATATCGTATAACAAAATTTAAAGTTTTCACACAAATACAGACATTTTTATGTCAGAATTAGCTTTTTATACCTAATTTATTGTAATAAGATACATTGAACACCACCCACTCGACCACATCAAATTTGACCGTACACAGGTCTAGCCGAAACATTAAATAAGAGAAAACAAAGGATATGTTCCACTATTAATGATCTAACTTTGCGGAGATTAATGAAAAGGTCATATGTTTCACGTTATATACTACATAATTAGTGTTGATGAGACTAAATAAACCTGTCCCTATATCAATATCCTTCGTAACCAACGAGGTGAGCTTGCAGACTTCAACAGTGTTGAAATGCTAAAAAAGAGATCTTACTATGACAGAGAAACATAGTATTTATAAGAACATTCGTCGGGTAGACCTGAAACTCATGGGTAGGATTTTTTCAGGATACGTATACATCATAAACTTGTCACCTTAAATACAGCTGTAGTCAGGTTTGGGAAGCGCTCAGGTGACAACCAAAACGACATGACACCCTAGATATGCTATGTTTTGTTTGATCGCCATGAGTATAACATACTTGAAAAAAAAATGATTAAACAGGTATTTTCTTGATAATTGTTCAAGATTATACAAAATTCCCTATATTTGATTATGACTGTGGTTTTGTCATGCTCTTGGGTGTGGCCCTTATTGCTCTGGACGGCATGCGACGGGCCTCCCGATTGTTGTTCAGTGGGTGAGCTGCCAACTACTATAAGGAGACCCCATTTCAAAAGTACTATTGCAGTTCACTGGGTGATAACCTCAGGATATAGAGTACACTTGACTGGTTATAAGTGATACCAACAATACTGTGGACACGTTCATTTGACCTCTATGCTCCCTTTAAAAACTGAAATCGTTTACTGATGTATGGAGGTGAATAAAAATTAACAGACTTATAAATCAGACGGAAACAGATATCAGCAAACATTTCAATAGCATCATGTTTCTATTTTCAAAAGAGAGCTCACAGACCATGTAACAATTCAAGAATTCAATAACATGATTATTTCCTGATAAACTTTCGTAATGTTAAATCTATGTGCTAAAGTTATCAGATGTGCTAAACTTATCAGATAAGCTAGACATAGCAGATAGGCTAGACTTAGCAGATGTGCTAGACTTAGCAGATAGGCTAGACTTAGCAGATGTGCTAGACTTATCAGATAAGCTAAACTTAGCAGATGTGCTAGACTAAGCAGATAGGCTAAACTTAGCAGATGTGCTAGACTTAGCAGATAGACTAAACTTAGCAGGTGTGCTAGACTTAGCAAATAAGCTAAACTTAGCAGATGTGCTAGACTTAGCAGATAGGCTAGACTTATCAGATAAGCTAAACTTAGCAGATGTGCCAGACATAGCAGATGTGCTAGACTTATCAGATGTGCTAGACTTAGCAGATAAGCTAGACTTAGCAGATGTGCTAGACTTAGCAGATGTGTAAAAATTTGCAGATGTGCTAGACTTAGCAGATGTGCTAGACTTAGCAGATAGGCTAAACTTAGCAGATAAGCTAAACTTAGCAGATGTGCTAGACTTAGCAGATAGGCTAGACTTAGCAGATAGGCTAGACTTAGCAGATAGGCTAGACTTAGCAGATGTGCTAGACTTAGCAGATAAGCTAAACTTAGCAGATGTGCTAGACTTAGCAGATGTGCTAGACTTAGCAGATAAGCTAGACTTAGCAGATAGGCTAAACTTAGCAGATGTGCTAGACTTAGCAGATAGGCTAGACTTATCAGATAGGCTAGACTTATCAGATAAGCTAAACTTAGCAGATGTGCTAGACTTAGCAAGTAAGCTACGCTAATATACTGCTAAATTTCAAGCCCTATACCGTCGATTGAAACATCATCATACATTACATGTGTAAATATTGTTGCGTCCAAGTATTCTACATCTTTATCTGTGACTTTTGTTTGTTGTGTGAACAATGTAACGTCTGTTTTTAACTCTCTCGAAATAGCTTTTTACAAATATAACTAGCAATTTTGTTTAATAAAGACATGCATAAAACTGACATTATCTTTAGGCTGTATATTGTCAATATTCATTTGAAATCATTTAACACCTAAAACTGTAAAAGTAGACATTTCCGCGGAGTTCAAATATTGTGGCTCTCTAAAACGTATACCTTATCGTTGGCACTTGATTTCGTGTATAATATTGTTCACATATAGATTGGCAAATTTAAAGTAACCACGATTTAACGGAAAATAAATCCTCCATGAAAATTTGTGACATTACAGTAAATGGTTGGTTCGTTAAGTTTATGAGGCTCGAATAATTGGGCAGTGTAATTTGAATGTTTTGTTGGAGACGAAGTAACACATTAAGATACGTCTATAGTTATGAAACTAGAGCTTTGCAGATAACACAAAGGCAAGCAGGTAAACCATTTTATTTTACATTGTCCCGACCTGTCGTTATAGTAAAGTATCACCTCAGTGAATGTATTTGATGTATAACTAACAACACCACTAAAGCACTAAAGATTATATTGTGTTTGTGTAATGTGTATTATACATGATGCATGTCTTGGTGTAGAATTTATTGGAGCTTTGAAGATGGTAATCGATCTCCACGTTCACTAGCAACACATTTATTTAAATAGGAATCCTTTATGACTTTACATTAAAATGTTGGCACATATATGTTTCAACGAAAAGTTATATTCCGGTCGGGTCATGAGGATCTAATTCCTTTAAGAATTAGGTTCAACAACGGGTTTCCAGCAACTGCCATCTTGCATGTTAAGATAAAATTACCATTTAAAATTTCGACATTATCAACCTCTGTCGGTTTGGGCTCCCTATCTCATATCAGTTTATATAATTAACAAAGTCCTACAAACATTATTATATTCAAATATTGAAAGGATGGTGTATCCTTACGCATCTATCAAGACATCAACTAAAGTAAAGGCAAATTGTACATGGTAAAGCTACGGTGTCCGTCTCGGATGTTTGACCTAACGACCTGGGACTCAGTGATATGAAAATTAACGATTTTTTCTTTAGTTTAAACCATCTGGAAATTGCTTACAGCCTTTGCAGGTTTTCATATCACGTGTATATTTCGTATCTTATAAGAAGACTTATAAAGGAACTTGGATTTTTTTATCCCTAAAACATACCAGAAACCTGTCACTTTTTAACGATGAAACTTGGAATGTTTACACAGTTTGGCATATGTCTAAAGTGGAATGTTGTAATTCAAAATGAATTCCTTCAGTGCATTTTTATATAAATTGAAGTTAAATAGCCCAGACAGTTAGTTCATAGCGCAGAACATATGTCACACATTGGAACGTAATATAAACACTGAGAATTTCCTAACAGTAAAGTAATTGCAGCATAAAGTAATTGTAAACATCATGCTGACTGGACAGTGGTGTGATTCACTTTTCTTCGTTTTCTTTCACGTAATGATATATGGATGATATGAAATGTATTCTACAGTTTAAGAAAGTGTATTACCCTTATCAATTACGACGTCGAAAAGTGGACAATACTATACAACTCCAGGCAACGACGTCGGAGAACTTGCGTCCACTAAACATTCCAACGAAGCACGGATCTTCAAGCTGCGACAGCAAGAACCGAAGACGACCTTAGATTTAGATATGACAATTTATTATGAGGTCATTGCTTCATTTTATCACGACATCAAAATGTTTTTCGCGAAGACATGTTTTTGTTTGAAACCATATTTTCAACAATTTATTCACCAAATTGTATCGCCGGCTAAGTTAGCACAATTGTTTGGTTGGGTTGGTGGGGTTGGTTGGTTGGTTGGTTGGTTGTTTGATTGGTTGGTTGGTTGGTTGTTGGTTACATGTTTTCCGTCTCCATGACTCCTACCTCTAGGCATTGTCTTACCGACGAATGCCAGTGTTCTGACGACGTGACGTTACCTCCACGGGCGTCTGTTAGTTAGAAAAAAATATCTGGTTTTGCAACCATCTATACAGAGGCTTGCGTTAGACTATCTTGTTTTGCCGAAATTCGATGACCGAGATTAAATTAATATCATATGTATAAATCGTTTCTCACTCACTGGAACATGGAACACTTTTGGTATTAATTATAGGATG